ATGTGCTATGTGGTCTGGAAGGGGGGGGCGACCCTACAAGACTTTGGATCTTCCACCAGTCCTAAAATAAATTGGGCATAATGGTTAGCTCTTTGGTTCAGGGCAGCTGATGACTACCAGACAGGAAATAGATATTTTTTGGCTTACTCAATAATTAAAGATGAATGCATTCTTCTGGATTGCTTGTTATATTGCCTTTTAATATCAAGAATCCACAGTAAATTCTTAGCAAATGTACCTTCCATCTTACCTTCCATAATCTCTTCAAAAAATTTATTTCATTTTGAATCTGCATATGTCTAATATGCTCACACAGATTAACAATTTTGTTGACCTACTGCCTTTAATAAATGTCTTTCTGGAACTCTCTAGCTTTCTCCATAATCCAGCGCATGTTTGCAGCGCATGTTTGCAGCGCATGTTTGCAATATTCAGCATCTACAATTGTCTTTACCTGTTTGACTGTGCACCACCATGAACTTTGGAAAGGGAGCATAAAACTGTAAAAAGAAAAACATCCCACTAATGCATGTTACTGCCAATAATAAAATACATTCTGGGCTTAATGAACATTTATTCAAACATTTATCCGGAAGAAGGTCAGGGTGATTCAGTAAGGGAGCTTCATAGATGGGTTTCAAACACCAGCACTCGTGCCTTTTAAAGTTATAATAAGGCTCTTTTTAGAAGACACAGAAAGGAGAATTATGTGACAGTAATTGCATTTCTCACAGCCTTCAGCTTTCACATCCTCCATTTTATAACCAGGAAATCTACAATCAATAACACTATGCAGTATGTTTCTATTTACCCCACTTATTCTTATGCAGTCAAGAGGGAGTGATAATAAACTACGTAGAAGTAGGAAGCAAATCATGAGCAGAAAGTTACTTGTTCCCCTAAGCAAGGCCATAACAACTGGGTGCTCTTAGTTCTGGTCAAAGAGAAGATTTCCAGCAACAGAAGCCCCGGGCAAGAGTGACTGAAAACAGAATTTTTACCTCTGTCAGTTTTTGGTCCAGAGCTTTCCCCATGGATGACCTAGTAAGTGGGAAGCAGCACAAACCTATACAGGACTACTCACCAGTAAGAACACTGAATTCAGTAAGTCTTAAGGCTCACCCACAGCCTGGAAAGCACAAGTCCGACAGATTTTCTTCTCTTGTGCTTTCTAGGTACAGGTCCAAGCAGTTTTGCGTTTGCCCTGCAGCTTTCCTCAGGAAAACACGCTCTTTACTACAGAATCAGAACAAACAGCAACCTGCAGAGAACCCAATTGCTGTTAACTCCAATTTGGCAGGTAAACTGCAGCTTTTCCTGAGGGGAAGAGGCGGGACAATCAGAAGTATGGATGAGCCCTTACTTACAGATAAGTGGGAATGAGACTGATTTGCTGACAACCATTATGTAAGAGTATTCGCTAGAATCTAGACTGAATGAAGGTTCCCCAATTATTTTAACACTTAAGGGAACACAGAGAGCCCTCATTCCACTGATCAGGTGCACACACATAAAAAACCTGGCTACAACCAACATTAACATTTTTATACATAGAGTTCTACATCTACTTTGCCTGTTTTTACCACAAGGTACACATTTCTAAATGTTTCTTACATATTTTCATTCATTTCTTTTGAGCTGAGAGCTGTATTGCAAAATTTGGAGATATGAAAAATCCAAAGGATAATTACGTTTGGATTTTTCACATCTCTAAATTTTGGAGGATAATTACATTCCAATTCATATACTAGACAAGGAGGTGCAAATTAATTTATTTTTCATCCTTAATATTTTCTGAACTGGGAATTGCCATATCAAAGTATGCACACATACATACACACACTTCAGTCCTCCCAATAAAACAATTGAGGGGGGTTCCTCCCCCCCCATTGCCATTCAAATGGTACGTGTGCACTGTGTCATGTGATCAATTTTGTGGGGTGGGGCATATCTCCCCTCCAATATGTTATTCAAGTTGGCACCCCTGATCCCAATTATATATCAATGCTCTGTAATATTAAACAGAATGTGGCAGCCTCTGCTCGTGAGGAGTTATCTGTGTGTGCTCCAAAGCTGCTGTACCCACACAGTTAATTAGTAGTAAATCAAAATGTATTTCTGCTCCAAAACATTAGGTAATTGTCGGAGAAGGAGGATTTTTCCAGTAAAGCAAGGGGATACTGGCCTGGAGTCAAGAGGAAAGAGTTGCAGCTTCCTAGTTGTGAGCACCACTTCGCCTTCCAAAAGAAATAGTGGGTACTATTTAATAAATAGTATGTGGATATTTGCCTGCTTCAAAAATATCAAAGTAACAGGTCTCTAAATTGGGGGAGAAAATTAAAGAAGAGGAGATTAAGCTGAGGTTTTTTCCCCATCTTCTTTCTTTCTTTCAAAAAATCTAATTAATTTGTCAGTGTTCTCTGAGAAGACAAGACTTTAATAAAACTGCATTGAGAAATGAGAGTGAAGGGGAACATGTTAAAAAAGTAAATTAATAATCTTTTCAGCAGGCTTAGTTTCCTTAAAGGCAAATAACAAAATCTAGCTGGATTTGTTGTACAAAAATTGAACTTTGATGATACACCACACATTCAAAACACTCTCATACCCCTTTAAAAGTCATGTCTCCCCCACTCCCCACAAAGAATCCCAGGAACTGTAGTTTGTTAAAGGTGCCTGGAGTTGCAGCTGTTGGAGGTAAACTACAATTCCCAGGTTTCTTTGTGGGAAGCCATGAAAACTAAAGTGGTATAAATGTGCTTTAAATGTCTGGTGTGGATGTAACCTAAGTTTAAGCTTTGCCTCCTCTGACAGAGACTTTCCCAAAACTCACTTCTTATGCACTTCATGCAAATAGGATTGTGTAAGGGAAGGATTGTAATGGAGCTACTTATATAGAGTGGTTGAACTGCATAAGAACCCTTTAAACCACGAGACTCTGGGGGTGAGGACGATCAACATTTAGAAAAATTGCTTCAAGCTACTCTGATACCACAGTCTAGAACTCTAATGAATAAATAAGAGGAGGCTCCTGCCAAAATCTGTGTTGCCATTCACAATGGTAAGGCAGCTTTAAACAAGAGCCCTCTGCCTCTGTCATTATTTGCGGATGTTACTGGCCATTCAGCGATGAGCTCAGTTTAAAAGCTGGGTCCACTTAAGAAATCAGTTGTCACTTCTCCATGCTTTTAGAGGTCGCAATATTACACAGACATTCTGAATTATTAAATGCAGAAGGGGAAAGATTTTTTTCACAGGCACAGTGCTTCTTTTGCACAAATCATTCCCATAATTGCTACACTGAGAGCTATTATGCAAAACACAGTAGCAGAATGATAAGAGCCATGATTCCTTACCTGTATTCTTCTATGAGGATTTAAATACCACTTTAAAGGGTTAGCATAGTATAACAAAATTGGTTAGTAGTTAAGAGCTGGGCTCAGAAGCAACATTCCCACTCATCACCTATGATACCTCCTCCATGTGCCTTAAGCCCGTCAGTTAATGCATCACTATATAAAGATTGAAAGAGAAGGAGTGAGACTATAAGGAAGAAACATACAACTCTGGAGAAAAGGGCAACCTCACAAGCAATTATGGAAGAGAAAATTACATAAATCCTTTCCCAATTCTAGAAAAAAGCTCCTTCAAAAACAACCAATTATATATTTGGGCCTTTGTCAGGAAAAAGGTGGGGTATAAATAAATACATAATAATGATAATAATTTGTGCTTTTAAAAAATTAAGAGTTGTAGTATCGCTTCATTTTTGCTAGGTGAATCTTGATCTTGATATGATTCTACAGTATTTGCTTTAATATACCACAGCATATTAATCTGCCCTGAGATCTTCAGATGAAGATATATATTTGCATTCTGCTTTTCCAGCGATAAATGTTGAGCTCAAAAATGCTCACAATAATCACAATAGCATTTTTTAAAACCTCAAACATTGCAATCATTATAATATCAAACACAATGACATATAAATAAAGCAAACAAGAGCAACAGATTCATCAAAACAATTAATACAATTCAATAAAGTTACAATAACTCATACTGTTATCAGGATACTTGCTAATCATGTGGAACCTTCCTCTAGACTAGAACAATAAAAATGGATTAGCTGTGCCCAATGGTTATCAAATGCATTGTTTTGCAAAACTACAGTGGGTGGAAGCCTCTTTCATTCTATATAAACTATAAACACTTATGCAGAACTATACATAAAAAAACCCATTTGGGATGGGTTGTTAAATCAGTGACAGCTGTTGTCAGCTTCAGATGTAGTTGGAGGAAAAGGATTATCTGGAGTCCTCTTATTGAAGTTATAACTTATTGCATTTATCATTGGGCTCTGTTAGCACAGGAAGATCCTCTGGTACAGATTTAGCCTACTTCTTGAATCAAAAAGGCAGAGTTACAAAAAATGGCATCCCACATAGAGTTCTTTCACATAATGTGTAGTAAAACCTTTCTGTGTTGTGACATCATCACACTGTGTGCTCCGCGTCCCTTGCTCCACATCACTGAGTGCTGCTGGCAGGACAGGAAAACACACAATATGACAGCATCACAACAGAGGGTTAGTGATCCAACATGTTACAAGAGAGAACAGAAGGACTGGACAAAGAGATGCCAGTTGCAGCAGCAGCAGCAGCCTCATGTTGAACAAGATCTGTGTTTCTGACCCCCCTCCTTGCAAAAAAGAGAGGGGGGCGGAAACAACCCAATGGAGCCAAGAGCTTTTAGAAAGCTGCAAATGCAAGTTCATCAGTGCTCTTCATCAGTGGCGTAGCGTGGGGGGTGCAGGGGGGGCCGGCCGCACCGGGCGCAACATCTGGGGTTAGGGCAAATCCACAGGTTAGGGGGCGCAAATCCACGGGTTAGGGGGCGCAAATTACTTGCCTTGCCCCGGGTGCTGACAACCCACGCTACGCCACTGCTCTTCATGAAGATAAAAAGGGGGAAATTATCTGCACAGATTATTATGGATGTACCTCTCATGGTTTCCTTCTGTGATATGATACAGACGATTAGCACCTCCATCAGCACATGCTCTCAGAACAGCTGGAAGGAAAGGGAGAAGCTGTCAAGAACCTGACATCATAACCAAGTAACAAATTTATTTACACGGAAATATTTCCTACAGCACAGCATAGCTCTGTGCCAAAGTGACAGAAATACTTATTTCGTTAAACGATGTACGCACTGACCGTCAGCAGGGCTTCCAGGACTGTTTACAAAAACAAGATGAAAAACACAAGTAAAACATAACAACGTGCTTAAAAAGAAAAATAAATTAAAATAGTCAGTATCAGTCACTACAAGGATAATGAACCTTGGTGGTAAAAGTAAAAGAATGAGAGAATTACACCAGCTGGGTATCACCAGCCATTACTGTAAAGGGAAGCATGGCGCCAGTTAAGGCTGGGCGATGTCAGCTTTCAACACTGCAATGTATCACCAGCCAAACATTGTGATCTGGCAATATACCACAGGAACAAGCTGGCTAGGAGGCCTCAGCAGTCCTTAAGGCAGAGCCTTCCAAATTGTGTGTCACGACACTTTAGTGTGTCAGCTGCAGTGTGTAGGTTTGTTGCGCCAAGGCTCCCCATGCTCCTCCTGGTCTGGAAAGGGGATAGTTTAACCTCCGGTTTGCTAGTAAAAGTGAATTACTGTTTTGCGAAATGATGCATGTCTAAAAAGTGTGTCACCAAGATGAAAAGTTTGGAAAGCTCTGCCTTAAGGCTTTGGCAGTCCTTAAGGCTTTCATTTCCACCTTCAACAGATAATGAAAAGTAATAATTGTCCCTACACCAAACATAGTTAAAATACACATCAAACTTCAAATATTTTATATTAAAAAACAGCACAACTGGGGCCATTTCCTTTTATAAGTTATGAGGTCATCTGAAACATCTTAATTCTTGAAAGCAGCATAATAAAGTCTGATAGCTCATATAGGCTGCTCATCCAGGAGAGCCAGAAATTATTATTTTTTGCTAACTGGATTTCCTCCCATATTTTTGCTCTTAGCACTTCAGTTTCTCTATACTTTAAAAGTTACTTAGCAAGTACGGTAATTATCCAAGGTACTGATCTTTTCCTGGCATGTTAATGATTCACATCAGTATGAACTAGAACCAAAGGTTTTCTCGCTAAATAGAGGCAGTTAACTGATGGGAAAAGGGTCAATAACTGTATTATTTTCATAGCTATGGCTCAAATTGTGCTTGGTTTTCTTAAACAGCAAGTATTATAAATAGGAAGTCTTTCACAAATGAGAGCTAGAAAGGGAAAATAACAGAATATAGAAAGTGATTACTTTCGATGCCCTTTAGAACTCCACAGATGAGGCTGCATTATCAATAATGATCTCAGAGTTAGAGTCTTTGGAAACTCAGCAATAATTCATACATGTGTATTATTATTATTTCTTACAATAGTGCTGTGATGTAGAAGTTTGCTGGCCAAGACAGAAGATTGCATAAATACACGTGCCTTGGATGTTATATTGCTTACAATCTTCCATTGGCACTAAATGCTTCCATTGCTTGTTAACATGATTAAGTATCATGGGACGCCAAGAGGCACTTCAAACACTGCATTTTAGCTGTTCTCCCAAGATGCCTTAAGCCAGGGGTTCGCAACGGGTGTAGGGATGGCAAGTATGGCAGAAAGATTCAATGACAGTCAAAGAATTATTTAAACATTTCAGTGTAGTACAGTATCAAAATATTTTTTTAAAAAAATCTGTGGAATATGGATAGATATCTTTTCAAAATGAGAGCAAGAACATCAGGTGATACTGAGGACAATCAGAGCTGTCATCCAGAATAGCTGTTTGAACAGTGCTGGAGAATAGCAATGGCTGTTCTAAAGTTCTCCATGACATATTGTTGTAAATAGGGATTTTCAATTCTGAAAAATATGAAAGATCAGAAAAGAGAAAGCCTTCTTTGAACTAATGAGGAGGTGAGAGTTGTCTCAAATTAGACCTAGATTACCGCGCAAAAGCAAGCTCACCCCTCACACTGAGTTTGTAAGAGGCTTGTTTATAATTATATGTTGGGAATAATTCATGTTACTATATCTGCATTGCTTTATACTTTCTGGATGTCCCATGATCATATTATAAAAGTAGTTGCGTTCTATGTCTTGCCAGAGTGGTGCATGCTCTGGTTATCTCCTGCTTGGACTACTGCAATGCGCTCTACGTGGGGCTACCTTTGAAGGTGACCTGGAAACTGCAATTAATCCAGAATGCGGCAGCTAGACCTACAGACCTACATTGGCTCCCAGTACGATTCCGAGCACAATTCAAAGTGTTGGTGCTAACTTTTAAAGCCCTAAATGGCCTCAGCCCACTATATCTGAAGGAGCGTCTCCACCCCCATCATTCAGCCCAGACACTGAGGTCCAGCTCCGACGGCCTTCTGGCGGTTCCCTCACTGCGAGAAGTGAGGTTACAGGGAACCAGACAGAGGGCCTTCTCGGTAGTGGCGCCCGCCCTGTGGAACACCCTCCCATCAGATGTCAAGGAAATAAGCAGCTATCTTCTCTTTAAAATACATCTAAAGGCAGCCCTGTTTAGGGAAGTTTTTAATATTTAATGCTGTGTTGTTTTTAACACTCGATTGGAAGCCGCCCAGAGTGGCTGCAAAAACTCAGCCAGATGGGCGGGGTATAAATAAATTATTATTATTATTATTATTATTATTATTATTATTATTATTATTATTATTATTACTAATCAAGTACTGCTAGGAGTTGTTTCTTTTTGTTTTCCAATGTATTTCTTATCAATAAAAAAAAAATCAGTGAGGCATTCAGCAAATTTTTATTGTGAAAGTGTGGTCCAGAGAAAAAAGTTTGAGAACTTTAAGTTTAAGTCTTAAGTGCTTAGCTAAAAATACAACATATCAATGTGAAAAACACGCACCTGCAAACACAAGTATCATATAAGCTTCACTCATCAAGGAACAACGGTTGGCTGCAGATTCCTGTTGAGTACATACTCCATGGCAAGCTAGCAATACGTGAAATGGTTACCCAACGAGTTCCAGTGTATTACCTTCAATTTCTATTTGTTGCTGCCAGTTCCACAATCCTACTTCACAAAAGGGAAAGGCAGCAGCTACCTTGCTTCTCTCCAGCCTAGTTACTGCAAAAATGCAGCAAGACCTGCACCAGCCGTTCATACTTCCAGGAGAAGAGGCTGACCAGCATTGCTCTCCCCAACATTTGCTTTTTGCTGCTGTCAGCCTTCTCTGGAAGAAAGGTGCAGGGCTCAACTGTATGTCATCTACTCTCCCCTCTGAACTGTGTTTAAGCCAGACTCCGTGGGCTGCAGCAAAACTGGTACCAGAAACTTTATTCTTGGTTAACTTTCGTTTTTGCTTTGTATTTATGTACTTAAGTTTACACTGTGTGTGTGTGTTTGTAATATTGAATTTATTATGTCTTTGCTAAATTGTTGGTTTTTGTTATTTTGAATTTACTGACATGTTCTGCATTTTTTATGCTTGAATTTCCAATGTCCTATATTCTAATATTTCAAATGTTTGCTTGTAAGCCACTTTAGGCATTGCTCATTGTGGAAAAGTGGCATATATGTAAAATCAACCAATCAATCAATGCTAACCCTCTGTGAGCAGTTAGGCAGTTAGAAATGGGAAGCAGCATAAGTTGTAACTTGGAAACCCACTTCAACCTCTCCTCGTTAACACCTGGCTGTCCTATAGCCAGCAAGTGGTGACAGACGCCGATTCTTTGAGTGCTGAGGATAAATTTTGTTCCAGAAGTAAAACTAGAGCCACTAGACACTAATCTAAATTCATTTCCCTAATGTTCCTCCTAAAGTTCCAAGACAGAGGGATCCCCAAAAGACTCCCGAGACACAATTCAGCCTCAAGACAACATGCAGTGGTAAATTTCATGTTGTGTGTTGTGTGAAGAAGTACTTCTGTTAATGCTGAAATTACTACTGTCAGTCAATTCCACTGTGCTCAGATATTTCCAGAAAAAAGAATTAAAATTTATAATTACCCCCCCTCTCCCAAGTTCAAAATTTTATAAACTTCTATCATGCCTGTCTCCCCAGCCTTTTTTCTGAACTCAAAGGTGTCACTTTCCTTCATCTGAACTTTTAGACATTTTATTAAGCAGTTAATTCCTGACCTAACAAAAGAGGTGTAAGTGCTCTATTGTAGATGTAACGAAGTCATTCCAAGAAAACATATAAATCAAATGACAATTTACAAAGCCAATTGAAAATGTGAATTGCAGATTCATATTTCCCCCCAAGGCAATTATTTAAGTCTGTCAGTGAGATGCAGATGCCTGTGTGCTGACAGCATTTCTGAAGTTTTAAAATTAGGTTGTTTAATAATTCAGTTTGAGTGTGTACAAACGCCAAGTTTTGATCACGGCTTTTTCCCTTCTTCGTTGCCTGCTTCTTCGTTTCCCCCCCAAAGCGGCTTTATTGATTTCTGACAACAGGAAGACAAGCAACTCAGAGTATGATAGAATGCCCCCTGCCAAAAGTGATTTTAATTGCGATTCAGAATTTCCATCACACAGATTTTAAAATTGAAGAAACCTGTCTATGTTGCACTGATGCAACTTGTTAAAAAAAGAGAAAGAGAGAGAAGAAATGAAAGAGGAAAATATCAGAGAAATCAGTATTTGGTAGTTCACTGTGAATGTTGTAGAGGAAAAAGTACACTCAGTTCCGCTTACTGCAGCTCACCTGCCATTTAAGGTGACTCACCAGGGGCTTCATAAACTTCCTCTTTTTGCTGGGACTGTAAAAAAGAAGTGGGCTGCCATCTCTCTGGCAGGCTACAATATATGGCTAGTGGGCTTTTCTCAGCTTGAGGGGTCACAATTGATGCAGGCCTGGTTTAAAGTGACTGTGTAAGATCAACTTCTGCTTCAGTAGCCAGTAGTAGGGCTAAGTATACAGTTATTTCCTTGGCAGCTGGTTCCTTATATTTCAGAATTTATTCACACAAACCCTCCTTTACAACCCTGGCTGCTGGGACACAAAGCAGAAAGCTGTGATT